CCCCGGAAGCCCCAAAGTTACAGCGACTATTATCAAGTCTAGGACATGGAATTCGCTGATGTGTTCGATGTGTGGTAGTGTTGATCACCAAAGGCTCCATCCAATCGACTGCACAAAGGAAAATTTGCCGCCAACTTCACCACATCAACACCGGGAACATCAACAACCAACCTTCCTCCCAGCAGACGTACATCCCTTCCCATGCCGATATCTGATATGGTAAGGAAGCTACTAGGTTTTCAAGAGTCTATGTTGATATTATGGAGATTGCTGCCTTTGCAGTACGAATCGTCGCAGTTGCGAAATACGTTTGCATGGACGAGGCGATGGTATCGTACAGGATCTTCTTGTTCCAATTGGACTTGGGAATTGAAAATGATGATACTTTACATGGCTTAGCGAAACTTTTTCACCAAAGAGGTCGCCGAAGCGACTCCATTTGAAGCCGAGATTATCGACCACTTCACAGTATTTTCAAGTCCAGACAATCAACCGTGAATCGTCAATAAGAGTTGCAACCATACCCGCATACTGCCAACACACTATCCAGAGACTATTTAAGGTGTGATGGGCACAACATATGCATGGCTGGCTCAGTAGAAAGGCAGATCTACACCATGACTGCACTTGTTTTGCAAGGTGCACTTTGACATGGACGCATTCTGCTTCCATGAACTTGGAAATATAGTTGATTTGGTCCAACAATCGATAGCTTCGATCTACCAACCGTAGGGTCAATTTCATCTTTTTGATCGGTGGCAACTTTTTGTTAATGTAGCGTTCTTGGAGGCAGGTTGCTTCCTGGACGCGACATATCAGATACAAGGATTCCTTCAGTGGATCTGGATCGGGTGTGTAGGCATGCGAAGGAAGGGGAGACGAAATGGACAATAAGCCACAGTAGGCGGAGACTTGCATAAGAATACCCGAAAAGCTTCCTTGAAGCATTCTCCGTCGGTCCAATGTTTCCATGGATATAACTGGAGCAGTATCAGATGATTCAATACTGTCGGCTCTGCTTCGTAGTGGTAGTGTCGCTGTCGTTGATTGCCCCGAGTTTGAATCTATTGTGGAGAGAGCTATCACTCTCAGAGTTCGCGATTGCAGGATCATTAGAAGGGATGAAAGAAGTCGCATCATCAATGTGTTTGTCTTGGTCTCTTGGACTTTGCAATGTTATGCAACGCGATCATCAAACATTTCTTTCCAAATCCATCATCATCATCACCATCCCCCACGTCATCCATTTCATTGATTGATTCATTTTGGTCGAATGTGAGCTGATTCGAAATCTGTGTAATAACGGAGCACATATTTAACACGGTAAACACTGCTTTTTCGATAAAAATCGCGTAAAACAACAGCACTTCGCGAAAAACAGCAACTCGGTGAACATTCCGTCCAATCTCCGCCAATTTTATGTGAAACATTTCCGACTTCCGCCACCATGGAACTATTTTAAAAAAAGACAAACGCTAAATTGAAAATAGCATGTCCATTTTCCGACACCTCCTGAAATCCGAAGCCCGCTTTCAAGCTTGCGGTTCTGATCTTGACGTCATCACAAATCAAATGTAAAGGTCAAACCGTTCAAAACTCCAAACAAGATGAACCCTATTCCACAATTCCAACAAGTATTATCCAGACAAGCAGTCGTCACAAGCTTCCGCAAGGCCATCGTTGTTTCCCCGGCGAGTTGTTGTTCTGTAGTAGGAGCGTCCTCGTCCTACTGGTCAGCCGCCAGGGAACAAATGCCCAAAGAGAAGGAGCAGGAGGAGGAGCAGGATCATTACGAGAAGAATGGTCACTTGCTGGTCGATCATTTGAATTACATTCACAACATGCTGGATCATACGATAAAGATGGAGAATACACTTGAAAGATTGAATTCGACCAATGCCAAAAAGCATTTGGCCTACAAGACACGCATTGCAAACAAGGACGACGAGCTCCTCGATGTCTTGTCACGACAAGCTGCTGCAGAGAAGGAAGAACTCACGAAACAGCTTGGGGGCTTGAAAAATATGATGAAACGAGTCCAAAACGAAACAGCTTACTATGCTGTAAATGGTGGTGCTGGTGATGGTGTGTCCGACGCAGATCGCTTCGTCAACGATAAAGAAGAAGCCGAAGTTGGTGATCGGATTATTGACTATGCCTCCAATTTGGAGGATACTAAAGTGGTCGAGCGGAAGCACAAGTTGTAGGATAAATTTTAGTATTACATTGTATTGGAGAGCAAGTCAGATGCCAATATTGTTATTATAGAGTAGTTGTGGTAAAATCTTCTTCCTACATACTCGTACCTGGTACCAGGTAGGCAGCATACTGCAATTGTAAGCAAACGGACACGGCTGTTCGTTAAAGGTATCTTCCGTCATCATCATCGCAAAACAACGAGAAGTCTTTTTATTTCAACTTCGAATTGTCTAACGTGTAGGAGAACGAATCAATCATTGGATTCCTTTCATCATACTGACGACGGCCGAACGACCGTCACAACAGCATTGCTCCGCAACACCAAGTCCGATCAATTTCAGTGGTATAGTCTCAACAGATAGGAGCAATGTGAACGCAGCAGCAGCAGCAGCAGCAGTAGTAGCAGGAAGGATGCCATTTTTTAAGTTCCATGCAAGGGGAAGAACCGGATATGCAAAGTGTCGACACAAGCTTGGCTCCTTCTCTGGAAAGTGATGCTGACAGTGTTCGCTGGGTCCGTACTTCTCCCTTTGGAAACGAATCATCACTCGACCAGCTGTCTTCGGCTCAAAGTTCAAAGGTTGGCTTGAACCATACCGTGCCACCTTTTGACAAAGAAGCGCTTGCTTTTGAACAATCAAATTAGGAAGGAGTTGCCGAGTCGTTGGAAAACGTAGCCGACAAGTCCGCCGAGCCAACGGAGGATGAAGCCAACACTGATTAATCAAAGACAAACGACACCATGTCCGTTCCAGACGACAACTTGAATCATCCTATGGAAGCCCCAGCAGAATTAGATTCAGTCCCGAGCCAAAGAAAAATGATACTGGTCAAACCGAGATGGCTCAACCGGAAATGGAAACTACGCCTTCTGCAATTCCTGCAGAAGATACCCAGAAAGTGGCACAGGATAACCATCCCGAGCCAGTAGTCAAGATTAAAGACGTGGAACCAAGACAAGAGGAAACTCTGAGTGCCTTCGAACAAGAGCTTCAAAAGGCTCACGATAGAGACATCGAAAGAGCTCACGGAACAAGAGGTGCACAGAATGATTGTGGAAATGCGCCAAGCCGCTGAAAAAGCCGATTCCGAGGAAGCTGCCGAACGTGAAATGCAGAGAATGGTCGACGAAATGAAATGGGCTACTGAAGAACAAGTAGACGAAGAAGCCGAAGAACGAGCGTATCTCGAACGAAAACGAAGACAACGACGCCGAAAAATAGAGCGAAGCCGAAGAACGAGCAAGAGCCCAAGTAGAAGTAGAAGTAGAAGCAAGAGCCACAGCGGAAGAAAAAGCCGAAGTAGGAGCCACAGCCGACGATGAAGTTCGAGTCCATGGAGTGACAGCTCCTCAAGCAGTGAGAGTTCAACGGACGACAGTTGGAGCAGTGGAACCTCAAGTGGCTGGAGTTCCAGATTCCAGCGTTACGAAAGCAAGAACAAAAGACAAGGAAAACTAATTTGAATATGACAACGGACATGACTATACTTCGACGTTACTCATTTCTGCTGGATCTGGAGTCTGCAAAACAAAACAAAACAAAACAAAACAATAGGTAGGTGGGGTCACGAGCCCAGCGAATACTTGCCTTCCTTTCTCATCCGCAATGAAATACGACACAGTGCAATCGTTGATACGCTTTCATCTTCTCATCCGCAACAACTCCGACGGTGTAAATGCTGTACGTTGGCAGATATGCCAGTCTCATGGCAACGTAGTAGTAGTAGTATAATAAATAGTAAGGTGGATTGAAGGTTCACTCCGCTGCTCCCTTTGTTAGATGTTCAGTCCAGTGCCATCCATACGCAAGACGACGTGCTCCACCGAAGTTGCCAATGGCAACGACAGCTGATCACACGGATAACCGATAACACTTGCTCTTCCATGCTTGATGTTTGAGCTACAGTGATGGGCCAAAGATACTGATATTCTGTAGGGGAGACTTCCACATTGTTTGCCTTCGAATCCAATAGGGAAAAAATGAAGAAGACCTTGATGATGATGATGATGCTGTTGTTGCTGTTGCTGCCTTTGAATCCAACGAAATAACAGAAAGCTCCACTCGACAAGCTTGATGATGATGAGATGATGATGAATGCTTTGTAAGCGCACCAATCCGAAATACTGTAGAAACAAAGAGTACAATCCAAATCATGTCCCATCCCAACTGTCCTCGTGGACCTCTTGACTCGACGACCAAAAGGCCAGCATCAAAGAGTTGAAGGTCCGAGGGCTCATGATTTGGTTTCCAGAGATCCGGTCTACCTGGGTTCTTGCCAATCTCAGTTGCGTTTATGAGCCTCGGCTCGACCACATTCCCACCGCAGTCCCACTCAACGATTCGATTCGATTCGTTTGGGCGGCCAAACACACGATGGAGGGAAGCAATCCAAACTCAGCAAGCCATAATATCGACAGACCAATGCTTCCTACTTGACTCTAGTGAGTGACCAATCCACTAGAATCGCATAGGAAACACTGGCCATCCGAAGGATCCCTAAGGGAGTGTGAGAAAACAAGAGTACGAAGGGAAAAAAATAATACAATCATCCAGACTCGCAGACCCAAAATGCTGTACAAATATCAGTAAAAGGACGGAAGGAAAAAGTGGTGAGGTGGTAGAACAGAAGGTATATTCAATCGATATGGTCAAGCTTACCTGTAAACAGTAGAAATGCAAAGTAACGCCTTCGTCGTCGTCATGTCAAATTGACATTATGGGGTGGATTCAGATATAACTCCTCTTGGTGTGTGTGTTGTTGTTGCACACTATTATCATACTCTGTCTCTTCAAAAAATCGCAAACAAAAATAAACTAGAAGGATAAAAGGTGAGAAAAGAAGGGGCAAAATACGAATTCCGAATCCAATGCATACATCAATGAACTTACGCTTAATCGGCACCACTTATTCTTCGGTTTGCCACACGACGACTGAATCGTCTTCCTTCTTCCGTCAATCCAGATCCCAAAGCTGCCGTAGAAGCATCCTTCTGATCTTGCAAAAGCTTGGCCAATCGAAGGCTATATCGATCGCCCGATGTCCTCCAGCCAGATCCCAATCCGTCTTCAGGAATAGAAAGAATTGGAGATGTAGTAGCAAGGATGGAAAGATCGTCGTCTGTTTCAGCTACGATCTCAGATTGCCTGGGTGGTGCTGCAATCTCCTCGTTGCTGACATCGTTGATCGGATCCTCGGCCAAGGTAAGGAAGCTTGATTCACCAGAGTCGATGTCGATGTCAATGTCAATGTCGTCGTCATCTTCTTCTTCCTCTGGATGTTCCACAATGACAGAGAAGCTAGCAGTGAAAGTCCAGTTTTGTCGCTTGGCTTTTGCCTTCCTCTTCAACTTGGGACGTTTGGCCTTCGACCTCTTCTTCTTGATCACGGCAAGATCGAAAATGGCACCGTTCCATTGCTCGAGATCAAAGCGTAGAGGGAAAGGATCCTTCATCAAGGCGGCGATGTTTGGACCACCTTCAGAGGCAATGGCGTCATCATTGTTGAATCCATCCAAAGAAGACGAGTCAATGTGGCTCTCGTCGTCTTCTTCTTCTTCTTCTGGGTCTTCAATAATGACAGCGAGCAAAGGAGAGAACAGTTGATTCGTTCGTTTGGCCCATTCTGAAATTGAAGTTGGAAGCGTAGATTGCTTCAGCTTGCGACGCTTGGAGAACCTGACCGAGACAAGGTAGCCAATTGGATCGTCCAGTTCATCTAGTGCAGCGGATCGTCGTGGATTGACTGAAGTCCATTCCGTGGAAGGATTTGGAATAGCCGAATCCATCTTTGATCGCTTGGTAGGTCTAGAAGAAGGAAGGAAAGCAGAGGGCGGGCTTCTTTTGTGAGGCCCGGGAGGTGTCCATCGGTCGTTTACCCGTTGAGACCATTCTCGAACCGAACATGGAATGATGCTTGGGGCAGAGGGCGGAACGATGGACAAGTAATCCAATTTGCGGCGCTTGGACGATCTTGCAAAAGAGGGAGCGGTGGAAAAGATTCTCTTGAGAGGAGCCTTGGCCTCTGGAGACAATGGCTCATCGACATCCATTGGATCGTCATCTTCAACGTTGTCGGGATGCTTCAAAGAATAACCTGTTGACAATTCGGGAGTTGCCTCTTCTCCTGAATCTCCTGCTGAAAACGACTGTGGTGGGGCGGAAGTAGCAGCTCGCTTGGCCTTGTTCTTGCTGGACTTGTTACTTGTCCCATCTGGAAGATACAACCGAGTCTCGTTTCGATTGAAGTCAAACCGGACATTGTTGATGGATCGTCGCGGATTGACTGAAGACCAAACTTTCGGAGAACGAAGAACGGACGCAAGGGCTGCAGATCTTGCCTTGTTGCTGTTGTTGTTACTTGTTGATATTCTAGTGTTGATAATAGTGCTGGTCATGCTGATAGTTGGTGTAGTTGGTGTAGTTGGTGTAGTAAAGGAGTCCATTCTGAAATCATGAGATGATGCGGTTGGAGATACAACTTTCACACGGATCGCCAAAATCTCAAATTTGCCTCCAAGTTTACTCCGTGCCTCCGTGTTTTTTCAAATTCCACGTAGTTCCGCGTAGCTTTCGTACCAGCCCATTGTTGTATGTGTTTTGGATTCAAATTCAAAATCGATCCAACCCCAATCAGGCCTGTTTTAGCTCTTTTCAAGAATCATTATCTTTGGATGATAAGAAGCTGGCCTAGGAACAGAGATGTTATTAATAATAATATTATTATAATATAGGACATATAATGAGATAATTTTTAATCTGTCCGAGTGAAAACTTGCTATTGATTATTAGTGCTATTCGAAAATGCGTTGGGCTACACATGAAGGTATTCCTTCATCCTCGTATTGTTTGATTTTTCAATGGTTTTTTCATTTTGACTGGCGGTCTAGAACCTCAACAAACTGTGCTAGCTACTTACAATAGGGTTGGCGCCATTGATGTCGGAGTCCTCTTCCACTTCCACTTCCATCAAATCTGATACAAAATATCGTGAAGGTCGCAACAGCTGCGTGGACGCTGGTTGCGCGCCTCATCCAATCATACGTGTGGTGGGTCTTCTGGGAAACCTTACTTGGTCAGTGAATGTAAATGCAAATGTAAATGTAAATGTAAACAAACTAGGAGGAGGGATTGGTGAAATATAGACTAGGGAACAATCGTGTGCTGCTTTAGAGGTGCCGAAGTGTTGCTGTGAATGAATGATATCGGTAGATAAGTACAGTTGGTCTTCTCAAGTCTAAAGAAATCACGTTATTTCAATAATATATCATATTATACTTCTAGTGACATTGTATTTTATGAAACATCTATCATGCCTTCGCGCTCGCTCGTCACGCCTATGTTCAATCGTCGCCTTCGTAAAAATCTGAACGGAGTGGAGATCTTGAGGGCGAGGATGTGGATCTTGCTGGGCTAGAAGCCGAGTGGGGGGATCCATTGATAGCTGCTGATAGAACTGTTCGCAAACCGTACAGTTACCTCTTCTATGGGATGGTTTGCATTGGTATGACTGGTCTGGTACTAGCAGTCGTAGCTGTTGTATCCTATATGAATCAGCAGAAAGAGAATGTGCCATGAAGTTCGAGATGATTTATTGCAACATAGTATTTATTAATAAAAGAAATAAGTGAACTGTAGAGAAAAGTTGGGATGGTGATGGTCGCCCTGATGGACTGTTGGCTATATGCTTGGGACCTCATTCTGATGGTACTATCAAGCTGGATGATTCTGCATCAGACTTGCATTTGGGTTTTTTACAGCAAAATGCAGTTTGGTTGAACTATGCGTATGGTACGAGATACATACATATATATGTGAGTATATAAATGCTGATATATCTGTTTTCATTGTTAGGAGCGCATCAGTGGCATCGAATTATTCCAGCGTTACGAAAGCAAGAACAAAAGACAAGGAAAACTAATTTGAATATGACAACGGACATGACTATACTTCGACGTTACTCATTTCTGCTGGATCTGGAGTCTGCAAAACAAAACAAAACAAAACAATAGGTAGGTGGGGTCACGAGCCCAGCGAATACTTGCCTTCCTTTCTCATCCGCAATGAAATACGACACAGTGCAATCGTTGATACGCTTTCATCTTCTCATCCGCAACAACTCCGACGGTGTAAATGCTGTACGTTGGTAGATATGCCAGTCTCATGGCAACGTAGTAGTAGTAGTAGTATAATAAATAGTAAGGTGGATTGAAGGTTCACTCCGCTGCTCCCTTTGTTAGATGTTCAGTCCAGTGCCATCCATACGCAAGACGACGTGCTCCACCGAAGTTGCCAATGGCAACGACAGCTGATCACACGGATAACC